TGCAATGCACTTCACTTCACAATAAACACGTCCGCTCAGTTCGACCGCTCGCACGTGGACCATGGAGACTACAGGACAACACATGACCTTCTCCCTTAACTGCAATCTTCTAGCAGCGACATCTCTGTTAATTTTTACTCTACACAAATAAAGAAAAATCAAAATATTTTGTGAAAAAAAAATCTGAACTTTTGTACTCTTGAATATTTTTCGTATCTTTTTAATTTTAGTTATTTTCAAAAATGTTATTTTTTTTTAAATCAAAACGTAATATTTTCAAAAATATGCATTCTAAACCGCTTAAACTTGTATAATATATTGGTAGCACATAAAAAATACAACTTGTAAAAGGATTACCTTTAATTTTAAATCTCGTGAAAAATTCATCAGTTTTTGTATTGATTTTTTTCCCAAAAGAGAATTAAGTTTTATTTTGATTATAACTCTGTTAATTTTTATGCTAATAACTTCAAGTTCATTTTAAAGATTTTTTAAAGTACTTTAAAAATGTAAAGTTCCGTACATTTTTCTTGAAAAATAGATTTTTTTTAGTTATTTTACGTTAAATGCTTCCAATTTAGTTTCTGGCGGACATGAAATTATCTTCAACCAGTCGTATCTCAGCACCTATTGCACCTATATAAATGAAAAAAAACTCAATCTTTTTCTATAGTAGGTATTGTTCAAGATGTTTTTTTTTTCATAGAATGTCTATTTTCCGAGTTATTTGAGAAAAACTACTGAAAAACGTCGTTTTTTAAAAAAATTTACATTTTCACCAAAAACTCAGAAAATATTGACTTATCGAAAAATATTCATGATACTTTTTGCTTAAAATTGACTGCTTTATTGATTCCTGGGGTTATTTTCAATATTTTATTTTTCACCTAGAAGGGGGGTTCCAGGGGTTCCACCCCCTGGGCAAAAGCGTTCATCGGCACTGTATAACTTTTGTTTCTTGAGCTATTTTCTACTTACAGTCTAAGTTTTACGTCAATCGGTTCTATCAGAAAGATTTCGATGGGGAAACCCTTGGTTTCCTAGACTATATCCTTGGGTCTCATGAACTTATGCATAAATGCATCTTGTTCCAGTGTGTATATAGTTCATTACTCATCACGGATAACAGAACATTATAAATTGGTATTTCAGTGTTAGTGGTTGCTTTTAGAAAATCACATCGATGAAGTGAATTCAATAAGCAATCGTGTGCTGAAGCTGAATACACATGGAAATAACGATAAGGTGACGATAAGTAATCGAAGGAAGAATTAATAAGCCCAGCTTCGGGTCCCTTGATTAGAGATGTTCGGTCTTTAGAAATTCCTGATTACTTACAGTAGTATTCTGAAAACCCTAGATTATATTTAAAATCAATTTTTAGAAAAGAAAATTGTATTTTTATTTTGCATGCATATAGGTATTTTTTGTGCAAATAATAAAACATTCTCAAATTATTTTCAATTTATAGAAGTGCTTACTGGAGGAACAAATAACAAACAAAATTAACTATTACAAAAGTTTATTAAAGCATGTAATAAATTAATTAAAACGGGATTTTATAAGAAGCTAACAAATAATCTAATTGCGACTCTGTTAAGTACTGGTCACCACTTTAACCAAATGCTTTAAAAATCTTTACAACTTTTTCTTGTACAATCTTTTTTAAATAGTATACTCGATGGCACGGTATATAAAAAATTAATGATTCTTTTTAGAATGAAATGAAAAACAAAACATTACATACATTACACCATCCATTCCTTAGTAAAACAAAATATCAATTTATTAGTCTTGTTAGGAAAAATTTTTATTTCAATACTTTCTAATAGTTGTATCGATGCAAATGATCTAATTCATGATATTTTCTTTCATATTGTGATTTATGATAATAATAGTCTCTTTCATCTGGGTTCCATGCTATGTACATGTACGAAGTTAAAACTGAAGCCAACAACAGACGATCCAAGCTGAAAAATATTTTATTATTGACATATACATAAAAATAAGATAAAAATTATTAATTAGATGTCTTTTTATACTCTGATTTTAAAATACGATTCTTTATAGCAACTTGCATCTTTATTTATTTTGTTTGTTAGTAGGTACGTAATAAAATATTGAAAATAATGTCTATATTTTGTTAAAATTTTACTACACATTTTAAACACTGCTAATATTAAAACCACAGTTCTGTTGCTGGATCTTGTAAGAATTTAAGAAAAATAAATAAAGATAAAAATTGTAGTAATGTTATTAATCTCTATGGAGAAAAAATAAGTAACTTGAAACTTCCACCTTCCACTGAACATATTTTCTTTATTGTCAACTAACATGAGTTTTGTTGGTGCATGTTTTAGTTACTTTTGAGTTAAATATAAAAACATTCATTATACAAGTGTACGTAATAATAAATTATATTTAAACAAATTATTCTTGATAAAAAGTTTGCTTGTTTATAAAAACAGGTTACCTTTATATTTGCTTGCGCAGAAAGTGACAAAATCAGAAAATGTATAATTTTTTATTGACTCGTAAGACTGCTATTAAGTTGTTTAAAATTAAGTTATATCAGAAATTTAATTTGTATATAAACTGGCCTATGTAGATTGTTCTAATAAAAAAAAGAATCAATGGGTTCAAGAGGTCTGAAAAAAGTAGAGCATATTATTTAATTTTTTGTTATTTCCTCTAATATTTTTATTTCTAATGGAATGTGAACAGGATTTTGATCAAAAAATTTTTATTTGTGCTTCCCAATCAATAAACAAAAATCTGCATCATGATTAAAAGTCTACAATTTACAATTTTTTGACTTTTTGTTTTGATAATGTTTTCAATGACGATGATACAGTTTTCATTTTAGAACAATTGAACTAGGCTAATCTATTGATTCACTTTTTCAGGTTCATTCTTACTTCGTTTTCCTGATTTTTTGCATTTTCTGAGCCCCTGCATTGTAAACAAAAATTTTCTATAGCAATTTTATTCTAGACAGAAGCAAATTCACAAATTACTTTTTTATAAAACGGAAAAATTAAAGTCTTCCCCCTTACTTACTCTAACTGACAACATATTGTATAAGTACATGGGCACAACTATTACTATTGCAATACCACTAGGTGATTTTCAAAATATACAATATTTAAATATGCCCTGCTTGCTTCACAGTGTCCTAAATCAGATTAATAATAATATGCAACCTAAGAAGCATGTGTTAAGATTTCGACTAGTTTATATACAGTAACTTGAAAAAAGGTACCAAAATTTCAGAAGCAGTTAGATAAAAGATTTAACTTTTTTTCCTGTGGGCTATAGGCTTATTATCTTCTGTTCTGAAAATGCAGATCAAAGATGATTCCTTTAAATAACATTTTAGTCAGTGGCGGCGCGTGAACATTGAATGTATTCTGCTTAGGGTTGTTACATTTGTTGAATTGAATTCCGGGATATTAAGTGCCTAAATGGTGCCGCAGACGAAAAATTTTAAAATTTTCAAGGTCACGCGTCCTGGCACTTCTGAATTTCAAGGAACAATCCATTTATACAAAAATACAAATTTTCACAAGAACGATTTTTGAAATTGATACCTTTTTGAAATATCTATTCACGAATTACCTACTGACAGTATAAATAAATTGGAATAAACTAAATATATTTTATTAAATTATTGAATATTGTTTATAAACAAAAAAATTGTTTGTGAAGTTTACCAACAATTCAACGAATTTTAATTTTCCTTGCCGTGTTATGATTTCTTCTTGATCTTTTTTTATATATGTGTACATATATTATATTCCGGGAGTTATACGTGCAAATCCGAAATCAGGGACCATACAGCTAATTCCCGGTACAATCACAGAAAATCCCGGTCATACCCATGTCCCATGTGGGTAGATGTTCTTTTAATATGTCGGCACTAAAATTTATGAGTCCACGAAGTGCTAATTCGGAAACTCCGCAAAATTTTATGCAATTTATGACTTTAGATAATACATAACGATTTTTCATTATCTGTTTATTGTGTTTCCTTATATTATCCCAATATGCAGAATCTAACTGACTTCTTATGTTTATTTTACCTAATGACTTAAATCTTTCACACTGTATATTGTCCATGCTTTATTCCCACCGAAAAGTAAGCGGGGAAAACAAAAGTGTATTTTTTATATTACACCCACAACCACTCTGTTTTGTGTATACATTATTGTTAAATTGTCTTTTACAACGTTTACTTCGGCTTGTTCCACTAACTTCAATATTTAATTGTGGTGTTGATCTACCTAATTCTTTTATTTTTAGTTTATCCTCATAAGGCAGAGAACCAAATAAAGTTTTTTGTAAAAACTATAATATCCGTAGACGCCTAAACGAAAATATTTACATGTGCCACTCGCAGAAATAAACCACCACATACCACGTACGAAACATTACTGCATTTACTGCAGCAGTGGCTGTCGTTGTTGCAGCCAAATAAGCCCATATACAAGTGTACTAGGTCACATGCCTGATTAGCCAATAAAAACAAAGGACGCATCTAACTGTTCGCTGTGCACACATTTTGTATATGAGGTTGCATATATTAAGGAGCGTAGCTCGTGTCGTAATAATAATTTAAGCTCCTAGATTTATTTTAGCGGGAATACATTTGGATGCTTTAAATATTTTATTGATATTTAATATGATTAAATACATAAAATTTAATGTGTTCTGCAGCTCCACAGCTCTTATGGTAAAACTGCCACTGATTTTAGTAATATCTTGCCTACAAACCATGGCATACACCGAAATTTGACACAGATAAGTTTTTGATTGTGCTAAATATGTCAGTGAGATATAATAGTGCTATTAGCTGATTGTCCCAAAGTTATTAAGTTTCTATTTTTTAATACATTTATACACAGAAACGAATGAGCCATACTTCAAGGGCAGCTTCCTTCAATTTTTTTTAATTCCATCATAACTAACTTTTTAAGGAATCAAAATTGTACTAAAACGGTTTATTTTCATCCAAGCAAGTTACCCTTGAAGTGTGGCCCATTTGTTCCAAACACTTTGTATATTAAAAATTAGAAGCTGGTTTACTTTAGGACAGTCGCATTTTTCTCGAAAACTGTGCATTTTCAATTAATGTAACAAGTAAAATGGACTATACTCCGCGGTGGAAATTATAAAGAGTGACCAAGACATAATATAAAAACACTATTACCATAATGCATATAAAATATAAAATAATTTTTATACGGTTCAATATTATTTATCTTTGTGCCGCTCGCTAGGCACACCGATAGAATCTATAATTGTCTAGAGACCGAGTTACACTGAACGTCGATCTATATTCTATCTCTCTCTTTTGCACTTGGTAGGGAATAGGGAAATGCTTTTTTAGTAGGTGTAAACGGACTTGATTTAACCCGTCCTGAGAAACGTCATAGCATAAGCGTAGACGAGGGGTCTAATTCCATGGCTATAATAAATTTATAAATTAAAAAAACACAATTGGGACGTTTTAAAATGCTGTAATAATTAAAATGGATCAAAGTGCCTGTTATAGCAAACCGTAAAAAATATTAGATGTTATGTTTTATTATCTTTTTTCATTATTTTCTATATCTTGTTGCCTTTTACGCAGACACGTCAATGGATTTTTGTTCCTGGCACGCTTCATCCCCCTTACTAGTCCAAAAGCTAGCGATGAATCACTCTCTATAATTTCGACCGCGGAGTATATTATACTGTGATACTGAATATAGGTTGTAAAAAACCTAACCTCAAAAAAGTTATTTAATCAAATGTCACTGGGAAAAGTAGTAAACAGCGACCTCTAGCAGGTGACCAAAATCTAATAACAATGTCATATTTACCATACTCAGAAATTATCGATACCAATTAACTATATTAATTGCATTACATTGTTTTTTGGAAATATGGCAAAAAATTTGTTTTTAAAATATATTCACACCTTGTATGCACGGCACTGTATGATTTTACTGGATACCACTTTTTTACATTTCAGTACTCAATATTTTGTACGGGTATTACAGCTTACGATACGATATGGAACATTTTCTGGAAATACCTATCGGTAGTGAAGTGAACTTTAAAACTTCACTGATTGCTGGCAATTTTCCAAAAAGTAACATGCAGTATAGTGATAAATAGCTACTGTATGTATGACTTTATAATTTCCATTCAGTCAGTTACACAAAATTATTGCTGTCGCTGTCTTTGAATGTTAGTGGCATGACTGTACTACTTTCTTTATTGTAAAAAAATAAAAACGCAGTATTCTATCGCAGTCAGCTCAGAAATCTGTAGTGATTTAATTTTGTTCTTTTTATGCTGTATTTTGTGTTTCCATACGATTCGCTTTCAGTAACATGTATTATTTGGGAGGTTTACTTATATTTTATATCAAAAAAATTGCCTAGACTGTTTATTAATTAAAAAATCTTTGAATAAATTCCAAATCGTGAATATACCGGTACTTTCTCATCCCTTATTGGATAGAACTGATACTTTTTAAGCAATACAATATATGTCAGTACCGATATTTTTTTCTCTAGGCCCATGGTCCATAGGAAAAAATATTCTTATTTAGTGAAGTTCTATCATCCATTGAATTTATGGTATTTTCCAATATGCCCTGTATAACCTCTTATTTCAAGCATTTTGGGAAACATTAGTTTTTAAAACAAAAATATTGATTCTCACCTCATGACAGGATAGAGCCAAAAAATTAAAATAAAGGAAAGAAAACTGGGATGTCTCATATGTGCGGTAAGCCTTTGTAGTCGAGATGATTTCCTTATATTTGGATCGGGTAATCTTACAAGGCTATAATATACCTAGAAGAAAAACAATTAGCTATGCTTACTTCGTAAATTTTTAAAATACAAAAACACCTGTTTGATGCCCAATAGTTCTGTTACATCAGTGCAGATATTTCCAACGTATATTATAATCCATGCAACAACATGAATGCAAGAGTACAATAGTAATACTGGTTTATATTTCAAGTTGTATTCCCAAATAATTACATGGTGTGTGCTAATCCAGTATTTTACCAAGACCTACAAATATAAATAAGCCGATAAAAAAACTAAATCTGTGTAATCTTGTTACTCCCTGTAGATATTATGTTATAATCCTTTTCGCATTATAACATCATATTACGTAATTTTGCATGCGTGCTTACAAAACAAGACTTTACTTAGGTCAAATGTTCCATTTTTATTGTATTGACGTAATATTGATATAGAATTTAGAATTCATTTCACATTTATGTGATATTAGTAGATGTTTATACAGGGTGTCCCAGAATAACGTGTACAACAAAAGACCACAGATCCGTGTACTCAAAATAGGCAGATTTGGGCTAATTCACCTATATCCGAAATGGCTTCGTTTGGCCGTTAGATGGCCTCAAAGTTAGTGAAAATTTTTTGAACTTTATAAATAACTCAAATACGTATGAATCGATTTTGGTCAGAAAATCTTCTCGAGGTATTGTGAAAAATTTTGGAAAAAACTCATTTAGGAGATATATCAAGAACACAGATTACTATCTTTCAGTACTATATCTACAGACATTATACAGTATCCATGGATAGAAGCAGTGATAGGTGAAAAAACAAAAAATGTTGAAAATAGTCGAATTTTTATCTTTTGCCGTTCAGTAATTTGTGGCATTTTAGTTCCTAAAAATCAAATATACCTTGGATATTAAGTAGAGTGCCTTTTCTGTTAAGAGGCAGAGACATTACTGTTTTGGACAAATAAAATAAAACATTACCCTCAAAAAGTTATACTATGAAAACTACGAAAAATATTTGCTTACCATTAATACGGTAGATGTGGTTATGACATATATACTACGAAAAATTACTTGCAGCCCATAACTTTTAAAAAGGTTTTTTACGTTACTTGATGCCAATAAAGAATGTTGTAAAATAAATAGAGTTAACAATATCATATTAACTAGTAGAGCCCAAGAAGTATTTATCCAAGGATCTGAAATTAAATATGTGACAAACCTTTTTAGACAAGTTTATATATTATTTACCTTCGTCTACAATATCATTCTTTGGACCATTAGGAATACACAAAAAGTATGTTAAATCTATTACTGTGAAAAAAGCAGCTACTGTCCCGAATAAGCACAATCCGATTTTCAATGCATCATATAAAATTTGGATTACCTTTAGCCCCATTTTTTTACCAATATTTTTTATGTTTTGGATCAAGAGCAAATAGTTACCAGGACAAATTACATCATTTTGTAAATTACATCATTTTGTAAAATATCATTACAAAATACGAGACCTGAAGTAGTAAATTAATCCAATTTACCTTCGAATTTGTAATTTCGTAATCGACAAATACATACACAAATACAAACCCATAGACCTCAAATTAGTAAAAAGATATAGACAGGACAGAGACCTTATAAAGAAAGTCAATAGGGAGTTTTTGCATATCTTTTAAGAATACCGAATACCGTAAACGATAAAGCCACGTGAGAGGGCACTGCGCATGTGCGACAGTTACCGTTGGCGTTTATCGTTACGGTATTCCGATATCCAACCCAGATTACGGTATTAGTTTACCGCGCCATTATTCCATGGCTAGAAATTTGCCTCACTGATTTGGGATCGAGGGGGATTATCCCTCTTTATCCTGCCTCATCTCGTGTAGGCCTGGACAGCCTTCGTAGGTGGGCCCCATCCGTC